GAATTGTGGGAAGAACAGGCGCCGGGAAATCATCGTTGATATCAGCGTTGTTTCGATTGGCAAAAGTGGAGGGGATCATTGAGATTGACGGCGAGGACACGGGTTTGATAGCCTTAGAGGACTTGCGACGCAAAATGTCCATCATCCCCCAGGATCCCGTTTTGTTCTCAGGTACTCTGAGACGTAATCTAGATCCTTTCGACGAATTTCCTGACACCGATTTGTGGGAGGCACTTGAAGAGGTTCGAACGATTTCTAATAAAAAAAATATATCTGTGTTTAATCGGAAACGTAATGCTGTGATGTCCAGAGACCCTACAGTTCCAGCTCCACGTTCTAGCTCCAAAGGTTTATCTTTAAAATTCCAAGTCCCAAAGATTCGAGAATTCCGGAATTCTCAAACCCGTACACCAGCTAACTTAAAATCATATGGTCCTAAGATTATTGAATAATAGTAAATATTCAATAATCACGAATATTGTATGCTATCCGATAATTTCTTTTGTAACATATTCCAGGTTGAGCTGAAGGAAGCGGTTAGTGCCGGAAATGGCTTGGAAAGTCGCGTGTTTGACAGAGGCAGCAATTACAGCGTCGGTCAAAGGCAGTTGGTATGCTTAGCCAGGGCCATTCTGAGAAACAATCGTATACTGATGCTAGACGAGGCAACCGCAAACGTGGATCCGCATACTGACGCCTTGATTCAACGGACTATTAGGAAGAAATTCGCGACGTGTACGATGCTAACCGTGGCGCATCGACTGAACACTATAATGGACAGCGACAAGGTTTTGGTGATGGATAAGGGTCGTATGGCTGTAAGTACAAGTCCCTTAAAAGACGCATTTTCTATAATATGTATGACATTACGAAACTTGCAATTTTGGACTCTCTTAACATATTTGAAAACATAAAAGTTTGGGTTTTAAACAAATCTTTTGTCTCTTGCAATTTTTGTACGATTTTGTTTTTATTTTGTGTGAAGTACATGCTTGAGGCCGTTTCGTTCCATGTGAAGGAATCCATTTATCTATTTATCGTAGTAAAAAATATTTGTATAGTTTTTGGAATATTTTTTAAATTTTTTATAAATTGGAACACGTTTAAAAATGTTGAAAAAGCCTAAATCTTTTCTTGAATTCTTTATATACATCTGAATTCTGAAATATTTCAAGATTTCTCATAATGTCCGAAGAAAATTTATATAATCTGAAAAAGTATAAGATATTTCTTTGGAAATTTTATAAATTTAAAAATATTTGAATTTATTTATCAGACCGTTTATTATCATTTTTATTGCAGCATGTACATACATACGCGATTTATATTGATATTAATAAAAAACAAATATAGTTATTAAATTATTATTTAAATGCTAATTGTTATTGTAGGAATACGATCATCCTCATATATTACTGAAAAACAGCTATAGTCAGTTTACTTCGTTAGTAAAGGAGACTGGTCCAGGTATGTACGATCATTTGGTCAAGGTGGCGAAGCAGTCCTATGTAAACAAGTACGGGGAAACATGACGAAGTGTTGATGAATTTTTATATAACAATTTCTCGTTAGCTAGATTTTTTAAAGCAAAAGCGAATCACTTAATGTGCCCTGCAGTGTATACTTATGGAGTAGAAAAAGAATGCAGATCGTACAGGAATGGCACATGCAAACGAATGTTATACATTTCATTAAGATCAAAGAAGCATATTGTTGTATGTCTTTTTTTCGGAATGTCACACACAGGATATTTTCCCTAAATATCCTTTTCCTTTTCGTTAAATATCATAACGTTGTGTGAGCGTAGAATGCGTCTGAAGAATTTTTGTATCACTTTTGAGATGATCGCTGCCGAAAAATCATTCTCACCGTAATATCTAGTACAAGTTTCTGCCATGAGTTAAGACCGCAATATTGTTATATTTTTCTACTCTATATTTTTACGTACTACAGAAATTACCTAGCTAGTTCTTATGATAATAAGCAAATGCGTGTTCGCCGATTGAGGATTGTGTCGGTTAGATGAAACATGGTTTATCATGAATACGAAATTGTGTCTAAATACGTTATTTATGCACAGTAAACCTGCTGTGATCTCTACCAATATCCATTTTGAGCCATAAGGATCTTACAAGAGCTATAAAAAATCTTGGTGATTAAAATTGTAATACAATATTTACCGAGTACATTTTATAAAAAATGAATTAAAATCATATAAATTTAAAAAGTATTAATTATATATAAAGTTTCATTTGTCTTTATTTATATATTATAAATTTTGAACATATATTATACATATAAATTTTTAACATATTTTAATTTAGATATATTGTATATTTATAAATGCTTATGAAACTGATTTTTATATTGCAATTCCCTTTTCTTTCCAGTAAGAATTTGACGACGGCTATTTGTATAATGATGGATTAGTATGATTCATTCACTATAAATATATCGATCCGAATGAATTAACGTACAAACGAATACTCCAATTCAACTCAAATACTTAATGATACGATTATTTAAGTTTTACTTATTGTACTTAATTTTTGTTATAATATAGGCAGAGAGGAGAACTCAATACTTTTATATACTGCATTTATTAATGCAAATATATACATTATCTGTTAAAATAAAATATATATAATATTACAGCAAGCAATATGAAGAAAGTATAATACGTAATATAATGTACGTAACATATTATAATATATGTATATTGTTATATACTACATATTCTGATTAATATTACGTACATTTTGTCAATTTTAATAACGTATTATGTAAGTAATATATAAGTAGTATTATATTACATAAGCATATTTTTGCTAACATTTAATTTTAATAGTATTGTTACTATTATTAATATATAATATACTATTAAAACATATATATTAGTGACGTAACAGTGTAATATTACAATGGTATACGTACATATCTAGCTCGTTGATATATGAAATTATAGAATTATGCTTGAGGCAAGCTTGACGTGTAAATTTACAAGTATATACATCTTTTTTTATAAACAATCACTTTTACATATAGATAGGATTAGTTTTGGAATCATCTTTACAGATCAGAATTTCATTGTTGATCTTTCGTAGTACTTGCGTAGACTCTTCTCTATCTCTTCGCGATCAATTTATACGCATTTGTTATGCTGTATTATAAAATATTTACGACACTGTTGTTTACAGTGAACTGTTAAATATTATGTACAGCTTTAAGATGAAAGTATGCGCACATCACGCGCTGTATGAAATGTAAACGAATAACCAAACTGCAGCAAAACATATAGAAAGGAATAATTTAATTGTAATCACGGTTCCTTTTCTGAAAAATCTTTCAACCCTTAATAATATTACTGCACAATCAATTGTTTTCTCTTAATTCTCCTAATTGTGCCTTAATTCGATCACTGTTGCACTTTTGCGATAGCAATGTCGCTGCCAAAAGAATTCACTCACTTGCAATGTATTGTTATAATTTTATAAATTTAAAAGGTAACTTCAAAAATATTTTAAAGTTAATTATGAAATGATAATTCATTGATTTCATGTTACAAATGAAATTAAAAGATATAATTAAATTACAATAAATCAAACAAAATTATCTTTTTAAATACCTGTGAAATCTTTTATACAATCTGGTTCAGTTTTTCTAAACGTAAAGGTATCAATACTTTCAAGTGTTAAATTTCAAGGACTTCACGTACGTTTCTTTATTTCTGCCAAGTTTGGGACACTCTGTTTAATTTTATATTTCTGTGAACAGATTGTAAACTGCAGATAATTACAGAGTTTGGTATTTCCATTCGATACTACTGCGTTTGATATCGATTTAGATATAAGAGAAGTTTTATTTATCATGTCGTTTCTGTTGTGCAGACCTTACTGACTATTAAAATCCGAACTATTATATAGCATCGAGGGCCAGAAGCTGTTACATATATTACACAAGCTGCTGATAAGAATATTGCAGAAATAAATTAGGAGAGAGCTAGGAGTAGTCTTGAATTTTATATTCCACAAAGGTCACGGATTTCTTTCAGCCGAGAATAACAAAGACAACACTTCTCGCGAAACCGGGGCCTCAATAGAGGGTTCTTCCCCTTCCAGATTTTTTAGTCGTGATTGTTAGGCATCCCCTAGCATCCCCGTTAACTGAACGGTTGACGACGATTGCACGTGCCATGTGATGTAACGAAAGGCTTGTTCCAGTGGCGGTTACAAGGGGGGTGGGGCGGAGGAGGTGATCGCCTTCCCCCTCCCCAGAACTCTCCAAACAAATTTCGTACATTGGAAAAAGTCGCGGTTTAAAATGAATTAAGAAAAAAAAATTAGCAGAGATTATTCGAGACTAAATAATGTTCATTCAATTTTTTTTAAATAATGAAAAATATTAAAAATAACATTAACGACAAT